GACACAAAGTAACCAAGATCTGGAATGGTCCAAGAGACATTATTACAGACACTACAGACATTAAAAATACTCTGATAATAAAAATAGATAATCATCAGCTAGACTAATCAAGAAAAAAAGGGGAGAATCCCAAATACACACAATAAATGGGAAATAACAAGGAAAAAAATATAGAAAATAGATTCTATCTCCAGTAGCAGTAAAATACCATACAACTACTAAGAAAAATAAAAATCTTTTTCACAAATTATAAAATACTGAAGGTGACAAAACAAAAAAGGATTGGAACAAATGGTAAAGACTGTAGGCAGACCCAATACCATAAAGGTGTCCATTCCCCCTAATTTAATGTAACCATCAATTAGATGGCATTAAAATATCAGATTTTTTAAAAAATACAATTGATTCTAAAGTACAGTCATGAATCACATAATGACAGGGATACATTGTCAGAAACACATCATTAGTCGATTTCATTGTGTGAACATTATAGAGCATACTTACACAAACTTAAACGGTATAGCCTACTACAGACCTATACTATATTTCTATTGCTCCTAGGCTACAGACCTAGGAGTAACAGCATATTACCGCACTGAATACTACAGGCAGCTGTAACACAATGGTAGCTATCTGTGTATCTTAACACAGCAAAGGTACAGTAAAAATATGGTATTATCTTATGGAATCATCATCGTGCATGAGGTCTGTCACTGACCGAAACGTTGTAATGTGGCGCATGACAGTACCAGAATCATGAAAAACTTTTGCATCATCTCAAAGTGATGAAGACTTTTGGGTGCCATAAAAGGAAGAGTAGTCAATTCAACTATAGAGAAATTAAAAACGCGTGCATGGAAAAACTACCAGTGGACAAAGTCAAAAGACAAATGAAAACATCTGCTACGCATATAACAAAGTACCAGCTGGCTGTGAGACCTTGGGAAAATCACTTCCCCTTTCGGAGCCTCCCTTTTTCTTCGGTGGATACTGAGAGGATAATACCGGAAGTCACAGGGTAGATGTAGGGGTCAGGCGAATACTTCACCGAAAACACTCTGACAAAGAGCTCTCACCCACTGGGAGGCTTCCAGTCCTCGACCTCCCCGCCAGGCCCGGGACGCAGCCCGTGGCATCCGGGGCGTGGCCAAGTGTGTCCGGCCCCGCCCCCACCCCTGGCCGGCGGGGCCCGTGGGCTCACGCCCGCCGGGGCTTCGGGACTCGCTCCCGCGCGGCCCGAGACCCTCGCCGCCCGTCTGAGGCGCGGATCCTGACAAAGGGAGGCAGGAGAGCCCCCACAGCCGCCCTCCTCTCTGCCGTCTCCGCCCCTGCACGTCCGGCCAGGCGGGCCTCGCCGGCCCTACTCGAAGGAGGGCGCCGGGCAGCCTCAGACGCCGCGCCGAGGGTCACCGCCGCCTGAGAGTCACCGAAGTTTGGGCTCCCACCCCGCGCGTGCTCGAGCCCATCCCTCATATCCTTGCCCTCCGCCCCCAGCCCGAGCGGAGCTACCTGGCAGCCCCCCCCTCATACCTGGAGGGGCACAGCCTCCACTCGTGGCTCAGTGCCACACCAGGTCACGGCGCGGGGCGGTGGAGATGCGCGGAGACTGGGGTTCTGTCACCCACTCGCGGCTGGAGGTGGGGGGAATGGCGAGCTCGTAGCACTGCACATGCGCAGATATAGGGGCTGCTCGCCGTTCCCAGGGTCCTCGGAGGGGTGGTCCATGGACCTTCGGGACTACACTTCCCATAAGCCTCCAGGGCCGCGCCGTTAGGGACTCTCAGGAAAGTATACGCCTCGTTAGGAGGGTCGGATGAGTGCTGTCCAAGATAATCCCTTGGCCTGTTCCTGCCTCCCAGAGCGGGTTGTGAATTACAATCCACTGCCTCTCCCCAAAATACAAAAACTTGGCGATTAAAGGATACACACGTAATCTATGATAACTGCATTTAAATTAGAAAATTTGTACAAAATAAAAGAAGCAGGTATCACCCATAATCTCACTTTCCAAATATAACTGTAACATTAAATTCACACCTTTCTGTTTTTTTTACAAGAGTGGCTATAAGGGTATCATGTGTTGCAACTAGCTTCTTTTCTCTTTTGTTTTTTTTCTCCCCAGCTTTATTGAGGTATAGTTGATCATTATAAAAATTGTATATATTTAAGGTGTACGACTTGATGACTTGATATATACATTGTGAATATTCACCATGATCAAGCTAATTCACATATCCATCACCTCGCATTACGGTTAACATTTTTTTTGACTGTGCGATGAGAACACTTAAGATCTACCTTTTTCTTACCTAAGATGTCTCATAAGCAAAAAAAAAAAAAAAGACCACTAGGAAATTTCAAGTATATACTATTGTTAACTACAGTCTTATTGTTGTATATTAGCTCTCCAGAACTTATTCATCTTGCATAACTGAGACTTTGTACCCCTTAACCACCATCTCCTCATTTCC